GCATTCTGCCACCCAGGTTGGGGCTCTAGGACCATAAGGGTGAGCAGAGGGAGGATCCCAGATGTGCTGTCAAGCCTGAGACAGTGATGACCGAGAGCTCAGTGCTCTGCAGTGCAACCCCTATCTTCCCACATATGCCCTACCAACATGCCTTCCCATCCAGGCACAAGCCAGGGGCAGGCATTCCTATGAGGAAGGAGAGAAACAGTCACATGATCTAGACCAAATCTAGTTCTGTTCCTTACCAGCTGTGTGACTTTGGCTCAAGGCACTTCATCCATCTGCATCAGTTTGCTTATCTGTAAAATAGGGGCCCTAAAATCTACCTCATGGGGCTTTGCAAGAATTAAATGAATTCCTGTGTGTGTGAGGTGCCTGGCATGAATCAAGCACCAAAATCAAATACCACCTTTCCTTGGGGCCTCTTCCCCTCCTCCTGTGTCACTATCCGGCCTCATCTTCCTCTGTCCTCCTCAGCAGCTTCCACTTCTCTTCTCTTTTGGTGCATGCCCATACTTTCCAGCCTCCAGACCTTTGCTCATGCTGTTCATCCTGCTAGGGATGCCTTTTCTCCCTCTCTCATTCTCACCATTACAAATCTTATTGCCGTCACTGTTCAGCTCAAATGCCGCCTCCTCCAGGAAGCCTCTTCTCCAAGGAGCTCTGTGCCCTAGGCAAGAACACAGATAACAGGAGCACCACAAGGGGCCGCTCTCTGCCCACGCTGGCCTCCTCCACCTTCTGTCTGGGCCAGATTCAAACAAGTAGAGCATTTTTCTCCCCCATCTCGCAGTACACAAAAATGTCCACTAGGTGGTGATAAAACGACAAATTCCCAGTGGGGGATGAGCAATAAGGGAGGCCCACCGCCTGCCTCATTCATTCCTTTCTTCAACAAATATTTACTGAGCACCTGTCCTGTGCAAGACTGTAGCACAACAGTGGTAAACAAAGTAACAAGGTTCTGGCTCTCAAGGAGTTTATGTTCATGTCGGGGGAGAAAATAAATAAAGCAAGGAAAACATAGGACAGAGGTGAAGGCTACACAGAAAATGGTGGGGCCCACTTGCATCTGGACCTCTCAGTGAGCAAGTTTTCATTGAACAGTGGGATAAGTAAGCAAAGAGTCACTTGGGATCTTAGAGGCTGGCCAAGTTGGAAGATTCTCTAGCCCCTTGGTATTTAAAGTGTAGCCTGTAGACCAGCAGCATCAGCATCACAGTGCAGGTACCCAGAAAGGCTGATTCGGAATTAGGGGCAACTGCACTGTGCCGAGTACTGGTGGGCACTTTTCTATATGTTGCCCTTCCCCATGGCCTGGGGAGGGGGTAGCTGTACTCTCCCTGTCTCTCACCCTGCAGCTGCCCCCCTGGCTATTCGATCTTCAGGGCTCCCTGGGACACAGGCCCAGGCTGAGTTATTCTCTGCTGGAGTGGGTATGGTGAGGGGGCTAGGTTACAAGGTCATCCCTGGGGCTCTAGACCCCAGCCCAGAGGACCAAGGCTGGACTCTAGCCAGGGCAGGGGGTAACATTGGAGACGAGAGCGAGGTCTCCAAAATAGCTGATTGGGGCTCAGGAAGGTACCTGTGTTGGCTCAGGCACTCGAGTTTCCAGATTCCAGAAGCCGGGAGTGGGGGCAAGTCTTAGAGATCAGACAGAAGCCAGATGACCGGAACAGATGCCCAAGGGCTAAGTAGACTCCTCAGCCAGGCTGCCCTTAGCCAAGACCTCTGAGCGTTCCACACTCCCTGACCAAGGGCAGGAGGGGTCCAAGGCCTGGAGCAGGGGAAGGTCCTGCAGGGGGCAAGTGCCACAGCTATGGGGAGTGAAGCCAGTGGGGACAGGGAGGCGGGAAGTGCCTGGCATGGACTTGGACGTGGCTTGGGCCCATTTTCTTCTCTTGGCTAAAGGGGTGAGGTTGAAAGTCAATTCCATTCTGTCAACATTTCCTGTGTACCCTCTGAAGCCTCAGCCCTGCATTCGGTTCATACTAATTAGCATGATGTCAAAAAATTGTCCCCGTTCTGTAGTTTGAAAACCAAGAATAGGACAGAAGAAATGTTTTGCCTGATGCTACCTGGCTAGTTTGTGGCAGACCTTTTGAGCCAGCTTTGTCCCCCAAAAGCCATAGGTACCTACCTTTCTGCTGCTAACAAGCCCTTCAGATGTGTCCTCACCTATATCAGTGCACGATTGCTGCATAACAAACGACCACACACTTAGTGGTTTAAACAACACCCCTTTACTATCTCACATATGACTAGTAACATGTACTAGACAGATAGCTCAACAGAACAGAACAGCATGTGAAACTCAGAAATTGACCCTAGTAGACCCAAATTTAGTATACGCTAGTGGTAGAATTTCAAATCAGTGGGAAAAAGATGGATTATCTCATAAAAGGTATCGAACAACTTGCTGGCTATCAGAAAAAAATAGAGAGATATCAAAATCTTAGTGAAAAATTAAACCATAAAAGTACTAGGCCTTATAAAAGAGGTCTTGGCGAGCTCCCTTGCCCCTTCCACCATGTGAGGACACAGCGAGAAGATGACCCTCTGCAAGCCGGGAAGATGGCTCTCACAGGGAACCGAATCTGCCAGCATTTTGATTTGGGACTTTCAAGCTTCTAGAACTGTGAGAAATAAATGTCTGATGTTTAAGCCACCCAGTCTGAGGTATTTTGTTACAGCAGCCCAAATGGACCAAGATACTCTCCCCACTCCCACAAGGCTTCCACAGTGGTTAAGAGCTTGGGTCTGGCGTCAGGGTACCGGGCTTACATCCAAGCTCTGCCTCTTAGTAGCTGTGTGACCCTAAGCGAATGACTTCATCGTTCTTGCCCTCAGCTTTCTCATCTATGAAGTGGGGCGAGTAACAATATGTGCCTTACAAGGTGTTGAGATGTTTAAATTATAGAAAGTTGCTTAGGACAGTGCTTGGAACTTCCTAAGAGCTCCATAAATCTTAGCTACTTATTAGATGATCAGTTTTAGCCTGTGAAGTCCAGGTCAGCCCTCTGAATCCTGTCCAGTTTAGATCTTTCCTCTCCTGACCACTTTACCTGATGCCTCTTCCTGGGCCCTCAGCTGGCTTCATGATCTATCTCATGCCCATCACCCAGTAGAACTTACTGAGCGCCAGCTGGCGGCTTCGTCTTGGAGGAGGGGGCCCACTGACCTGTCATGCCCCCCCTTCTGACCCTTGCAGATAGGCTTGTTCAGTGTCTTCGCCTATCCTAGTGTGTGGGAGGAGCTGGGCTCAGGTGTCACCACTGATTAACAAAGGTTAGAGCCAAAGAGACAGTGCTGTCCCCAGAGGGCCTGGCCTAGGAACAGAAAAACACCTAGTTGTGTTGTGTCAATGTTTGAGGTATTTCAGAAAGTGTCCCTGAGGTGGCCTAGCAGATAACAGTCTGTGGGAAAGACATTTTGGTAACGTGTTACTTAAGAGAGGAAGATGACAGGGTGGAGCCCTGGCCGGGGATCCAGGTGGCCCAGAATGCCAGCTCTGGCCTCTCCCGAGACTTGCTGTGTTGCCCTAAGCTAGAGATGTCACCTCTCTGTTCCTATCTCTGTTTACTGTCTGGGCACTAAGTTGGCAGGTAAAATCATCAGAGAAGAGACCACCAGGCAGGGTTTTTGCCTTCTGGGTGCTCCCAGGCCTGGGAACAAGTACTTGAACAGCCTCTAGCAGAGACAAAGGCAGCAGAGCTGAGGGACAGGTCTGAGCCCTCCCACTTGTCCTGAGTCTGGCTTTAGCATCTGTATCTCTGACCAACTGTCGGACCCAGGGCACCAGCATGTGGGGTTCCTGGGATGTGTTACTAGTTGTCAAGCACCCACTAGGTGTGTTACATGCTGTTGTAGCACTACACCTAGTTCATCTTCTCAACAAGCCATGAGGCAGGTACTACCATTACAGATGAGGAAACTGAGACACACAGAGGTCCAATGACTTGTCATTAGTGTGCAGCAGAGCTGGAATTTAAACCCAGTCTGTGTCCAAAGCCTGAGCTCCTCACCTCTATCCTCCATGGTCTCCATGGTTAATGAACATGGCCTGGGGTCAATGCAAACATTGCTTGTTTAATAATCACAATAGCCCTCAAAAGTAAGTGCTCATAACCCCATTTGGTAGCTAAAGAAACTGAGCCTTAGGAAGATGATGTGAACTGACCAAGACCACGCAGCTTGTAACCAGACCAGGATTCAGACCTATCTGACTGCAAACTCCTGGTCTACCCATGACCCTACACAGCCTCATCCAGCACATCCTGCGTTGGCCCTATACATGACCTGCCTCCAGCCAGGCAGCAGGTGTCCAGGATGCTGGGTGGCCCATGACCGATTAAACTTCCCTTCACAATTGTGGGCTTCATATGGGAACTGCTCCAAGTATTAAAGAGGCCATTCCTGGACGCATACTGCCCTGGTCCAGCCTCCTGTGTGTGTACAATAAGCCAGGTTCAGAGCCAGTCCCTGTGACCAAAGGACTCTGCCAGGAAGAGTGTGACCGTGATGGAACTGACCCAGCAAGGATGGTCAGGGCACTCAGGCCCCAGGAGTGGGGAGTCCCGACTTTCGGAACTTAGACACACTCTCACTCACGGCTGTCGGCACCCTGACAGACATCCACACGCTCCCACAAGACTCTCCCCTGGATGCGCCTTGACCCACCCCAAACCCCAGACACCCCTGCCAGTCCCCGAGACTCTGAGGCAGTGGGTGCTCAGAGGGAGGCCCTGGGGGGGCCAAGGGCCAAAGCGTCGGCCTGGCCCCATCACCTCCCGAACAGTTCCAGATCCATGAAGGCTTAATCACACACCTACAGCTGCAGGCGAGGCGCACAATCAGGGCCCCACAGTCACACCGCATACAAAGACACGCCGTCCCTGCCTGAGCACGCAGTCCCCACACAGCTGCCGTCCACCCGCGCCCCGCCCACCCCCGGCCAGCCCTCTCCAGCCCCGGGCCCGCCCCTTCCGAGGCCCCGGGCCCGCCCCCACGTCGCGTCCCGCTTCCGGCCCCAGTGGTCCGGGTCCGTGTCCAGCGGTAGCAGGTCGCATGGGGCCAGTGCGACTCATGAAGGTGTTCATTACCCGCAGGATCCCCGCCGAGGGCAGGGCCGCCCTCGCGCGAGCCTCAGAGTAAGAGCCTGGCAGCCCGCGCCGCTCCGCGCACCGAGCCTCGCTGCCCCCCGCGCGGTGCTGAGGGTGGTCTCGGGGAAGGGACTGCGGAGCCCTGGCACCTCCCCAGGATCTCCGGCACCCCCGCACGCAGGGTGACTCAGCGTCTCCAAGAGCTACTTTGGGGGCGGCCGGGACTGCGCCCCAGCGGGCTGGGGGCGACCTCCAAATGCCCCAGTTATTTTTGGTGGGGAGGATGGGGCGGTCCCAGGGGCCAGATAGAGCTGGAATCCTGCTCCCGGGCCTTGACCAGACTTTCCAACCTTTGACCCGCCGGGACAGTCTTGGAGTTTTGGAGAAGCGTAAAGTTTTTTACCGCCCAGCTTTCTCCAGGCGCGTTGCAGTGACGTTGGAACCTGCGCTCCCCTGGCGCTTGCAGTGGGGGTGAGGCCTGGGGAGAGGGGCGACCGCTCATGATGCAAGGTCCAGGCTGTTAATCTTTTACCCTCCAAGGTCACTTAACGGGGTCAGAGACCTTGGCAGTCACCCATCTGGTCCTCTGGACGGTCGGCAGGGGCCTTTCGTGACACTTCTTAAACTGAAGCCCCGCGTGCCAGCTTTGCCAAGTGCTTGCCAAGTGCTTCATATGTGTATATGTATACATAAACTCTTTTAATCCGTGCAACACTGTGAGGTGGGTATTATAATTCCTGTTTTACAGATGAGAAAACTGAGGCCGGGAGAGGTTAAGTACTTTGCCGAAAGTCACACTGCTATGTGTGTGGCAGGGCTGGGGTTTGAACTCAACTCTGTCTGGCTGCAGTCAGCACTGCAGCCTACTGATCTGCCCTGCTAATGTCAGGAAGGGAGAACTTTGCTGGGGACCTGTCAGGTACCAAGCATGGAGGGGAAGGGAAAGGCAGAAAAAAAAAGGCAGTATCTCACACTGCTGTAGCACAGGGCCATGCTTGTGGGAAGGAATGTGTAAAGTAGCCCGCGCCTGGGGCTTAGTTGGCCGGGTACTGCAGGAGGGTGCTCTGAGAGATGCCAGCAGCCATCTCGTGATTGGCATATGTAGATGCTCCATACATATTGGCTGCACAGAATTAAATGGCCAGAGCTTGGAAACATGCCCAAGTGTCCATAAGTACACTGCTTCATGTTGCATTGCTTTGATCTTGTCCTTCCTGGCAAAGTCCAAGTACGAGAATTTTTTGTTTCATGGACTCACAGGACAGGACATGCAACTGAACATGGAATCCAGTCCCATCTGATTCAGGAACAGCCCCCCTGACACACACACACACACACCCCTTCCCCCGCTTCCCAACAGTTGGCCACCTCGGGCCAGGAGGCTCACTCCCCATGAGGCTTCCTGTGAGAGTGAGAAAGCTCTTTCTTGTGTTGAGCTGAGAACTGTCCCCGTGACTTTCTCCTTTCAGTTTAGGCTCTTCTCAGCCCTCTCTGCCCTGTGATAGCCCTTCAGCCACCCTCTCAGGATAGTTCTGAAGTTGCTCATACCTGACCCCAACTCCCTTCAGCCAGCCTCAGGGAGCCTGAGGCCAGAGCAAGCAAAAGGCAATGTTTCCCACTCTGAGAGGGGGCTGCAGATGTAGCTGGGGGGACTTTCAGGCCTGGGAGCATCTAAGGGGCTCCCCTGCTTCTGAGTGGTCTTTCCTTTGCCTTTAGCTGTGAAGTGGAACAGTGGGACTCAGATGAGCCCATCCCCTACAAGGATCTGGAGCGAGGCCTGACCGGAGCACACGGCCTGCTTTGCCTCCTCTCTGACTGTGTGGACAAGAAGCTCCTGGATACTGCAGGTGTGTGCCCTGGGCAGGTCTGGGGAGGATTCTGAGGGTGGTTTGGCCTATGGGGCACATCAGCCTGCTGTTGCTAGCTCCCCGAGCAGGACCGCAGTGACCTATTCGAGTTGAGGCATTGGCTATAGTACTAGGCAAGAGGGAGCAGTTGTGCGCAGCTGCATCTGGCAAACGCATTGTTCCTCTCCTGCCTGCAAATCTCTGGAAGACGGACTTTAGAGGGCAAAGACCACGCATGGAGGCAGCAGGGTGTGTGGGGGAGGGCATCCCAAGGCCCTGGGCCCTTGTCCAGCCAAGACACAGCCTTGCTTTATGAACCCTAGCAAACCCCTGCTCCTTCTGGGCCCATCTGGAGTGTGTGGGAGGGTTTGAATCCCACAAGGAAAGAGCGAAACAATGCTTTCTCTGAACAACAGGAGCCAATCTCAAAGTCATCAGCACATTGTCCGTGGGCGTCGACCACTTGGCTTTGGACGAAATCAAGAAGCGGTAAATGCAGCTTGGGTTCTAGAGGGGGACCTGGAGTGAACGGTGACTACCAGGCAAGGAGGAGGAGGAGCTGAGTCTTTGTTTTTATTTCATATCCCTGACCATTCAGTGAGACTGTGAGGTGGCTGATGAAAAAAATCTGTCCACATATGCACAGGTCAGTTAAAATAAACCCAAGAAGTCAGAGACAGTGGGTAACATCTGGCCGGGTAGCCAGCACCCTTTCACCTTCATTACCTTTTTGACCCCCAACAATAACCCCTCGAAGTAGAAAAGGCAAGTATTATGTCCCTCTTTAGATGAAGAAATTCAGAAAAGTTAAGTAATTACTTGCCCAGACTTTGGACCCTCATCTCCCATCTTCATGTCCTTCCCCAAACGGGAGATATTGAAATGGAATGAGGCTGACCGCTCCTGAGTACTCATTTACAGCTCCTGGCGGGCAGCACAAAGAGGGAGCAAAGCGGCAGCGTGGAAATGTCCCAGCATTAGAAATTGGTGAAGGTGCTTGAGGCCAGTGTTCTATCACCAGATGTTTGATTCATAGCGGGATCCGTGTGGGCTACACCCCAGATGTCCTGACAGACGCCACTGCGGAACTTGCTGTCTCCCTGCTGCTCACCACCTGTCGTCGGCTGCCAGAAGCCATTGAGGAAGTGAAGAAGTGAGTGAACACCTGGCAGAAAGGTTGGCTCCACTCAGCAGCTGGCTCTGTACATGCAGTGCTTCCCTGGCCCAGATGTGATCCCTGTCCCCAGATGTGCCCAATCTAGTGAGGGGGGTCAGACAAAGCAAAAATACTAAAGTGCAAGGCAGAGCTGAAATAAATAGGACATAAAGGGAAATCCCAAGAGAAGAGAATAATGGAGGTGAGGAGACGGGTAGAGGAGGGTGGATCAGGGGAGGCTTTACAGAAGTAGCAGGTGGGCATCCTCTCGAGCGCTTAGAGAGACAGGTCCACCGTCCCTTGCAATGCGGAAATCCGAAAGCTCTGAAATCTGGAAGATGGTTTCATAAATCTTTTGGTAGCAAAACTTGATTTGAACTAACAGGAGGCTGCTTATGGTTTTTATTCCTCCCAGTCAGTGTGACTATTCATGTTTTGCTGCAGATATAGCACGGTGTTTGATACAGTGTACCACCCCAGATGCTGCTGAGGGTGTTAGGTAGAATATAGCATATGCACCATACTACCTTTCTAAAATCTGAAACATTTTGAAATCCGGCCTGCGGGTTTCAGATCAGGGATTTGGGGCTGTATATCCAGGGTTGTGGAGGGCATTCCAGGTGTCGGGACTGGCCTGAGCAAAGTCCGGGAGGCATGCAAATGCAGGCGCTCGGAGAATGTGGACCAGGGGCATAGGCTCTGCACAGGGGATGAGGCAGGGGCAGAGCTGGACAGCAGCATGGGGCTGATCACACAGAGTGCTGAATATCCCGTTCACCCTCCTATTTGGGGTGTCAGCACCTTTAATGGAGGTAGCTCAAGACAGGCTCTGTTCCCGTGTCCACCCAGGGCAACAGGGGTGAGGCTATGGCTTTACTTTTTTTACTTCCCTGGGGTGCTGAGAATACTAATTTTGGAATCCCAGATCCCAAGTTTGCAACCCGCTGTTCCCAACCCTGCCCTTGCTGTATGACCTCAGGCAGGTTCACCCTTTCTGGTCTCAGTTTCCCATCTGCAAAATGGGATGAGAACTTCTATGGTCCCTACCAGATTCTCTGTCCCCAGTGGCTTTAAAGGATGAGTCATTCCGGCTGCTTGTCAGCAGCGCCGAGTGGCTGAGGGGATAACTCATGGCACTCTCAGCTGTTTTACCTGGAGGGAAGGGGTTATCCCTTGGACCACAGCCTCTGTCCCAGGGTGCTGGGTCTGTGCATTCACAGTGGGCCCTCATCTTTGCCTAAGGCTGGGGCCTCTTATCTACCCCTCTCCCTCCCCGCAGTGGTGGCTGGACCTCGTGGAAGCCCCTGTGGTTGTGTGGCTATGGCCTCAAGGAGAGCACCGTTGGCATCATTGGGCTGGGGCGCATAGGTGAGGCCCCAACCTACCCTCTTGCCCGTTCTGGCTCGCATGGCTTGGTTTGTCTCCAGCTCCATGTGTCTGGATACTGACAGTCCTTCTTTGGAAAGGGTTGCCATGACTGTGTGTTATCAGTGCACTTTGCATGCAGTAGGGATACCTCTAATGAGAAGACACAGGCTTCATAAAACAGGCAAAAGCAAAAATGAAAAAAAGAAACATTGGAATTCCTTAAGAACTCACTAGGTGAAAGAAGCAAATAGTAAGGGCCAGGGTTCTTAATGCCTGCAGCTCCACACAGAACAGGTGAAAGCGATGATGGCTGAGTTGGAGTCTTTAGGAAGGGCTTACTGGGGGAGAGCCCGTGCTGGGTTCTGGAAGGCATCTGACTCATAAAGCCTTAACTCAGGAACCTGAGGGTCTCGTGAGCAGAGCTTACCTGTGATTCTGAGGATGAGGCAGATCTGTTTTTCTTCCAGTGTCCCCCATTTGGAGAAGCCTGGCATAAAGGCTCGAGCCCAGCCAGGCAGCTGTCAGTGGTTCTCTGGCATCCTGCCTGGTGCAGAAGTAAGAGTGAGGATGGCAAGTGGGGATAATCTGTCTGGCCCGCTAGCAGCCCTGCCTTTCACGCTAGAAAGTTGTTTGGAGGAACTCTCCAGCTTTAGGGCATGTGCTGAGTCTAAAATCCAACTGCTCAAGCTTGTCTCAGCAGCAGCATATGTGAAAAAGTCTTACAGATTGGGGTGAGTTGGCAGTTTGGCAATGCCATCTAAAAGTGAAATGAGGTCTGAGGCTGCATTAACGGAAGCAGTGGGTCCAGAAAGATGGAGGGGGACTGTTTAGTCAGACCTCTCCTGGGGTACTAGGCCCCATACTCAAGGTTAGTAAATGCCCCTCAAGATGGCTGGGGCCATGTAAGGACAGCATAAGCCTATCACAGCCACGGAGGAGCTGTGGTGCTGCCTCCAGCTCTTTGAAGGGCTATCACATGGACCCCTGAAGGCTGTGGGCTGGCTGGGGGCTGGTTACACAGGCTAGACCAGTTAGTGTTGGGACTGTGCTGAGGAAAGGATCTGTCCCCCTCTCCCACCAAGGGCTCCCTGTCCCTTTAGTTGCTGGGTGCTGCTGCCTCTGCCCTCTGAAGTCCTAGGAATAAGCTATGACTCTGATTCCTTGTCTCCAGGCCAGGCCATTGCTCGGCGTCTGAAACCATTCGGTGTCCAGAGATTTCTATACACAGGGCGCCAGCCCAAGCCTAAGGAAGCAGCAGAATTCCAGGCAGAGTTTGGTAGGTAAAACTTCGATTGCCACAGGAGCCCCATCTGCACGGTTAGAGGGTTCTCCCTATTTTCTGTAATAGTAGCATTTGCAGGCAGAATGCAGGAGCGTCAGGTGTATCCAGGGCCTGAGGTGTCCCTTAGATGTTATCTAATCTACCTGCCTTGTGCCCACTGAGGGAGCACAGAGACTTATCTAGGCCACACAGTGAGTTCTCAGTGCCAGCAGAACACTCAGGTCTACC